TGCAGGGCATTAAACAATAAATTAAATTAATCGCATGCGTTTCTTAGAAAATTTTATTGCCCTTTAAAAGTGTCTTTCTTTTTTTATTGCTTTGTCTTCCTTTTTTTCCAAGAGTATTCAACTCAAGGAAATTTTGAGCGGCTTTAATGGAAAGTTTAAGGAAATTCGAAGCGCGAAATCAAATCCAACAATGACTTGTTTTTTTTTTCCTCCGTCTCAACTAATCTTTTTTCCTGCTCAAGAATTCTTCTATAAGCTTTATTTCGCGAGGTTGAAAGCTTTTACGTACGTCTTTTGGAAGAAAATTATTACCAAAATTGACAAGATTCTTACGAAGGTATTTTTCGGGATTAAAATTTGATATTAAATGTCGCTTTTAATTGCCGATGCATAACTTGCAAATTTAACGACATTTAATTTAATGCTAAATGCTTTTTTATCTCAGCGGATTGTAATCGAAAATATTTTATAAGCTAAGATCAATAGTTGATTTTTAGCCTCCAGTTAGTTCTTCAAATTAATTCAAAATGTTTTGACATCTAGTATAATCCAATCTAATAATATTTAAACCATTCGTTACTACCAAAAAAAATCGATAATATTTTGTGAAAGTTCTGTATAATTTGAAGAAGCTAAATATTTACAACTTTAATAAAACTTACGAACAATGAACTTATAAACCTTAATAAGCTTACTAAATTAAATCTGTGTAATAATTAGCTATGTTGCCGCACATTTGAAATCTCGACATAAGTTCTTCATGATAAGTTTTGAGAAAAACAGCATGGCAACTATTGTCTTTCCCAGTCTAATGCTATCCTGAGAAAAAAATATGGTCAAATCTACCAAAATATGGTCAAATTTACAGTGTTCTGGTTCCATGGGAGAACCAAAAAAGTTGGTAACTTTTACCGAATAGCTTTGGGAATAATTTTAAAAAAGTCAACAATAAACTAAAGTTTTATAATTTGTGATAAAATTTGTTAAACCAGGTAAAATTGGTAACTTTGTTATGATAACTTTGGGCATAGCATAAAAACCATTTTTTTGGTTAAATTTACTTTTCAGTTTTGTATTTTTTTACCAAATATGGGGTCAAAGGAACTATAGTCATGAAAAAACAAACTCTTCTTTTAACCGCTATCATTTGAACGAAAAAATTACTTAATGAATGGTTTATATACCGTATATTATGGTTTCATTAACCAGCATTACGATTTATTACCGGAAATTTCATTACCATACAACACGGCAATTTTACCAGAAATTTTCTTCCGTCTATCAACACGAAAATAAAATTTAAGAAAGATATAAAAAATGATTTTATCATAAAATGCCAAATATTTAAAAATCTCAATTTTGAATTTTTTGTTGATGTCGTTAATCTTTCCAATGAGCGGCGATATAAAGTTTCAATAAAGTACAGTTATTAAACACTATTATAGTTGTAAAAAACAATTTTTTTTAAGAAAAAGGTACAATTCAGATTCAGAAAGAAGCAAAAACGTGTTTGTTTGCCTCTTTCGTTCTAAGAGAGCGGAATTAATTTAAATATCATATTAATCCCTTTTAGCCAGAGGTACGTCAAAGCACAATTTCGATAAATAATTTTTTAACAACGTTGGGACGAATGTTTTTAACCAATTTTATTTTTCTGCCAATCAGTTATTTTCTGATGAAATATATAAAAAAATAAGCAGTTGAATTGGAGCAAACACTTTCTGTTGAGAAATTTTTAAACTACTCTAGTTTCTTCACTTAAGCCAGTTATTGACAAATTCAACTTTTTTTAAATGCATAATTATTTCATTTGAAATTAAATACATAATTATTTCATTTCATTCATATGTTTTTTTAACGGATTATAGTTACAAGTTCAGAAAATAAAATAAAACTTCATAAAAAATACCTTGCGTTCAACTAAATGGTTTGTCCATTGATTTAGCGATTGGTGTATATACAAGCCATTTTACTGATTAAATAAAATATTATTTTTCATGTACGAAACTTTTTTTTTCTAACTTAATGAATTATGCATATATATATATATATATATACCGAAGAGCCATTACATTAAGACCATCCTCCATCTATAACAATGGACTCGCCCAGGTTTTCATGGTTTTTCGCTCTGGAACAATGTTTTCATGGGACACATTAGGACCCATAACCCTCATGGAACAATCCCTGACGTCCGTAAGCTACTTGAACAGAGTTGCAGACCAGGTTCACTCATTCATGGCAACAGTTTCTCCTGCGGGAGATAGTGTTTACCTACAGGATAATGCACCATGTCATAAGGGTCGAATCGTCGAGGAACACTCCAGAGACTTTCAAGTCATGTCTAGGCCCCCAAATTCTCCTGACTTTAATCAAATCGAACATTTGTAGTCCTACTTGGAAAACCAAATTCGATCTGCCACGCTACCCCCTCGCAATGTGAAGGGAATTGCAGGACCAGTTGGTGAGCGCTTGGTACCAGAGACAACTTATCAGTACCTTGTGGAATCAATGTCACGGGGCGGGTGCTGGCAGTTTTGAGGGCTAAAGGTGGTCCTACATGCTATTAGCAGGGTTGGTCATAATGTAATGGCTCTTCTGTGTATATATATATGTATATATAAATATACAGTCAACCCCCTCTATAGTGAACCTTCAAGGGACCGAAATTTCAGTTCATTATATCCGGGAGNGCAGAGAAATTTTTATGATATATATATATATGTATATATATATATATATATGTATGTTTTAAAGAGAACGATTGTTCATAATAATTTGAGCAATAAATTTTTTTTCCAGCATGAAAAATGTCAACATTTGCCCGTCGCAACATTTATAATGGTTAAGTCTCTTGTTATTATTTTTTTCAAATGAAAGTGTTTTCAAGATAAAAAAAAAGATTTAAATCGACGCTCTCTGAATATAGAAGTGGAGTTCTCATTCTTATTCAAATCTTTTAGCGTCAGTGGTTTTCGTTGGCGAGAAAAATACCACACTGAATTCATGTTTTGAAGAGAGGCATTTCTCCGTTTTTCTATTTTAAATTCTTGGAACAGAAAAATCTTCCAAACTGAGTAATTTAGGTGGAAATGAAAACGTTTCCCATTCCGAACGGTGTGTGAGATTTAAATGGGAAATGATTCGCAAAAAAACGAAAGTCACATTACAGCTCGTAGAAAATCAGCTGTTCGGTACACTTTTCTTTTCTACATGGATAAAACATTCCTTTCGAAAGTAAGGAAAGATGAAAAAGAGAGTGGTTTATTCTTTCTGTGATTTGCTTATCAGACGAAAAAATACTCTCAAATTTCTCCTTAATTCTCACTGGTAAAATTTGAAATATTGATGTAAATCTTTATACTTTTATAAAACACGATAAAAAAAATGGTGTTCTTTTTTTATAATTCAGTTCCTTGGAATTTTCATTATCTAAAAGAAATATTTCAAATTTAAGGATTCTAGTTTAAAAAAAATTTGGTTTTTTCCGTTAAAAGAAGATGAAATAATGAATTATGTGTCAGAGTGTTGGAAAAAAATATATTTTTTTTACTTATTTTGTCTGTCTTTGCTATTACCTCTGTTATACCCTCTGTTACTACATCGGTTATTGCCTTTACTTATTGTTGGTTACTACCTTTACTTATTATTGGTTATTACCTTCACTTATTACTTATCTTTACTTCCTGAAGAATTCCCATGTATAAAACGATGAGTGGTGCCCGCTAAATCTGACGAGATCACAAAGTCCTCCAAATTCCTACAGCAATTCAATACCTCTGTGGGTACTGGGTCAGAGACTATTCCTGCTTTTGCTCAGATTAATACTGCGATCTGCGGATGGATGGCATGTGAATCTGTCCTTCTTTTAAAATGGGATGAGACGTATATGTGTGTTGTCTCCGGATCCTCCTCTGGGATGGTTCCCTTATCGCTGCCCATTGGGAAGCTCTGATGCGACGTGAATGAAAAATGCCGTACCTGTATTCCTTTGTCCTACTGTTTCTTTAAAATACTTACTTGCAGTAATATTTTTTATTGCAATACTGTTGATGTTTATATTTTCTGAATTTTTATAATAGATATCAGTCAAAACTTATGAACTCTTAAAGACATATATTCCGAATTATGTATTTATTTTGTCTCATATGTTATTTTTGATGTTCACTTACGTCGCACTAGAGCTGCACAATGGGCTATTGGCCTACGGTACTGGAAACATACCTGAGGATGATCCGAAGATATGCCATCACAATTTTGATACTCTGCAGTCTACGGTAGAACAGTTTTGCAAGGACAATACACAGACTAGTCCAAGTGGTCACCCACTCGCACACTGCCAGCAGTCAGCGTTGCTTGACTTCGGCGATCTGCTGGGAGCCGTGTCTTGACAATCCGTGTACAATGGGACTAGTCTCATGTGTTCACTAGGTTTTTCGCTAAATGCAAATAATGACTTATAATCCCTGTAAAGAAGCACAAATAAGAAAATCCAGGATTCCGTCGGAATTCGAACCTGCTACCTCCAAACTTCAGAGTATTTAGAATGAAACCCCTGAATCATCCCTTATGAAACCCTCTGACAATGAGAGATACAAATTTTTGCCTCATCGTCTCCGTAGAATCTTTCCACTTACACGTAGCATTTCTTACGTCACGTCCGTATGCTCTGCGCAGGCAATGTTTAGAACTTATATTGTACTGTAGTAATTAAGCAGGCGTGCAATAACAAACTACGTGAAAATAATTGTAGTAAAAATATTAGTACTTTATTTACATAGTACTAGATCTGCATGTCCAGCAATGAGCTGATTTTTAAGACACGCTTCCCAGCTGATCTCCAAAGTCAAGCATCACTGGCTGCAATCAGTGTGTGGGTGGAAGACCACTTGAGTCAGTCTACGAAGGGTCCAAGGATGTTTAACTGTTATATTGTAAAGTGCCTGACTTCACGCACAGGTAGTCCGGATAACGAAGCTGTCTAAGCTCTGATGTCCAAGATGATGTCCATGTCTCTGATGTCCAAGAAGAAAGATACTTCATATAAGGCTGATCCAGTAGAGCCTTCTGTAAAGTGTAAACTTCCTGTAAAGTATCATTATTTTTTAAGAAATATACGTCCATCTGAGAAATTGAAATGGAGCAAAGCATCTGTGATTTCCAAGTCTAAAAGAGTAACACTCATAGCAAAATAGAGAAATTATCTTGTGAATTCTAAGTCCTGTGATCCTCCTGTGAATTCCAAACCAGGAGATGCTTTTGAGAAACCAGAGCCAGGTAATCAGTCTGAGAAGTCTGACGATCCATCCAAGAAACCAAATCCCAGTGATCCTTCAGAGAAACCAAATCCGGGTGATATTTCTGAGAAGCCAGATCCGGAAGATCCTTCAGAGATGCCAGATCCGTGTAATCTTTCAGAGAGATCACATCCAGATAATCCTTCTGAGAGATCAGATCTGGATAATCCTTCTAAGAGGACACATCCGGATCATCCTTCTGAGAAGGCTGAACCAAATGATCTTTCTGAGAGGCCAGATCCGTATTATACTTTTCAGAAGTAAGATTCGGATAATCCTTTTGAGAGGTCAGATCCAGATAATCCTTCTGAGGGAACAGATCCAAATAATCCATATGAGAGGACAGTTCCGGATAATCCTTCTGAGAAGCAAGTTCCAGTTGATACTTCTGAGAGGCCAGATCCAGATAATCCTTCTTAGAGGCCAGATTCGGATAATCCTTCTGTGAGACCAGATCCGGATAATCCTTCTGAGTGGCCAGATCCGGAAAATCCATCTGAGAGGCCAGATCCGGATGATCCTTCAGAGAAGCCAGTTTTGGGCAATTCTTACGTAAAGTCTAAGCCAGGTTATCTTTCTAACAACTTCAAGACAGGCGAGCCTTCTATAAGGTCTAAGCTGGTTAATGCTTCTGGCTCTCTTGAGCCATCCGAAATACTAAAATCCATTAACTGCAAGTTTTCAGCAGAGCTGGCGAAAAACAAAATCGCTTACCGTGAAGTCCCGCAGTGGACTGATCGTTAATACACGATTCCCAGCAGATCACCGAAGTCAAGCACCACTGGCTGCTGTCAGTGAGAGGGTGGTTGACCAATTGGATCAGTCTGCGTAGGGACCGAGGGTGTGCGGTATTGATCCTCGTTAAACTGTTCTACTGCAGAGTACTCGACTTCGCGTGCTGGTCGTCGGGCTACCGAAGAGGGAGTGCCATCCCCTCTGCAGAGGATCGAAAGTGTGATAGCGTGTCTTCGGATCATCCTTAAGGATGTTTCCCAGACTGTCGCCAATAGCTCATTGCGCAGCTCTAGTGCGACGTAAATGAACTACCACTACAACGCTTATTGTGAACAAAAGAAATGCTTGAAAACAAAACCTGATTTAGGTCAGCGACCATCTGATACAACTGACCGGTTTCTATTAACAAGAAAATACTACTTAATTTCCATACATGATGATTTCATTCGGTCTGATTCATTTAATAGTGACGCATATTAAAAAACTCGGTATAAGTTACATGGATAAAATACGAAACGAGATGCTAGATGACTAGCATCGTTTTCATGAATACTGGTATGGAATTAAACATAAATTTAGCATTATGACTGCAAAATTCAATCAGTGTTTTCCAGGTGACAGAAGTGATGTACCGAGAACTAACGATGATTTTGATTATTTTAGCATGATTCTTTACACCATAATAGATGCTTACAGTATCGTTGATGAAATTTTATGTATATGTCATAGTTATTTTGATGGGTTGATATTGTGTTTATTCGGTTGAGCTTTTTTTCCCGTTACATAAAAAATATCCGATTCTGTTTTTCCCCTTTACATAAAACATTGAAAGTTGAAATAGAGGAACTAAAATTGCTTGAGAAAGAAATATGGATTAAAGGAAAACATTGAGTCGAGTAATTTCACTTAATGCTAAGAACTTAAACTAAATAAGTATGCGTAATCTTTATATTTTGTGCACTGCTGTATTAAGATATTTGATATTAAATTTTTTTGGAATTCTTGCTATTTTGTAAATTTTCCAATTTCATCGATGTATTTAGTTCTTTTTTCAGAAATGAAATTCAAAATGTATAAAACTTTTAATTAATTGGTATAAATCTCCATGGTTGCTTTATTGGTCTAAATCTAACTGTACCATTATTTATTTATTGATATTTAAAATTTCGATGCATACTTTAAATGATTGAATTATGCGTTTTATATTTTGCGTATAACTGTTTTATTTAATTCAGTATTTGCAGAGTGAAGTAAGATTTAAGCTTGTAAGATTATTTTTTCAGACTGATTTTAATTGTTGCTATCGTAAAAGTTATATTGATTTCTATTGATTAAAATGTAGAAATAAAAAGGCATATTAAGAAAATTCAGTTGATGATTTATCCTGTGCAAATTCTGTTATTTTCTTCACCAAACATTTGAAAAATGCGTGAAACAAAATAGCACTGAAAATGTAATTTCTACTCACCTTTACCCATTAATGGTCGAAAAAGTACAAGAACAATATTCTATACATTAAAATTAAATAGTTTACATATAAACTGGAAATAACTGAAATTTTCTGATTGAAAATTTTGTTTTATTTGAAACTGTCAAAAAAAACTCCATGAAATTTACACATTATACATTTATTCTTAAGTATTTATTTATTAAATATTTCCTGGATACAATTTATTAATAATTAATTAAACTAATATTTCATTCTTAACTACTTTTTCGGACTTTGAAATGGTAAGTATTAAACTATAAAGGCTTGATAGGTTTTGTTATTAATGATACAATTTAAAATAAATACATTCTTACGTATTTATGTCGGGAAAAATTAATTTTACAGTTTTCATTTATGTTCAGTTGATATTTAGCAGAAAAGGAATTTGAAATTTTGTTTATTTTAAATTGCAAACTTCCTTTGCAATTCAAAACTGTGGACATTTATTTTCGTTGCATTTTTGAAATTGCACCCCTTTTATAAATAAATCTTAGTTGCGTGCCGATTGATGATCACGTGGTATTTGTATTGCCACTAACTTAAACTCGAGTAGCACGATACGGGTTGAAAATGGATTGTATTATTTTACTCAAATTGACTGTTTCCTCAATTTCTAAGAAATAGAAAGAGCGAGTATTATTTTTATCAAATTTAATTGAATATTAATATGAATATTGAGTTTGTATGTGTAAACTTTTAATTTTACAGACAAAACTAAGAAGCTGTGTTAAGTTTAATTTTTGAAAACAAATTTCGTTCTCGAAAACATCAAACGCATCTGTTGTCTAAAACTACCTTGAGCACCAGATTATACTTTTAAATTTTTAGTTTAAATACTTGCTTATAAATAGCTAAGTCATTTTTTAAATGTTTTAAAATATTTACAAAATTACTTTTTTTTCTAATTTCTGGAAGCATAAAAGATGCTCAACAAAATCTAAATAATTTTGATTTTCTATCAAATAATTTGTAGTAATAATCCTTTAAATAGTTTTAATATAAAATATATAATCCAGAACTAAAATCTGCCTGATATCACTATTTGAAAATGCATAAAGAAAGGGGTTTTTTTTAAAATTTAGTTTAAATTACTTTTTTTTTTGGATTTGCACGCTTTTAATGTAATGAGTAAGAACACCATTTTCGATCCATTTTCATAGGCCCGACAGTTTAAAAAATAAATTTTTTCTTTCAAAACTATGCCTCTATTTGTTATATTTTTAAATAAAATATTCTGAATATCTTATCAGCGTTATATATTCTAAAAAACAAGCATAACTGATGGTGGTCAGTGAGCAGTATGGAGACCACTTTGATCAGCCTTTGAGTGACCAAGGGTGAGCGATATAGATCATCGTTAAACTGTTCTACCGTAAAGAGCTAGACTTCGCTAGCAGGTATCCCATCTGTAGAGGTGTGATGGCATGTCTTTGGATGAATCTCAGGGAAATTTCCCAGAAATCGCAATTAGTCCATTCTGTAGATATAGTGCGACGTAAATAAAGTACTACTACAAATTCAGTGGCACGACAGCCCATAGAGGGCCAAGGCCTACTACGCCCATCTCAGTGTTCTTGACCTTGGGCTCTGGGGTGCAGGAGCAGATGTTCCGGTTAGGTGGTCAGCAGATTGCGGAACCCCCAGTGTTTAGTTCCCAAGCATTTACTCATGTATCGACCCACTGAAGGGATGAAAGGCTGAGTCAACCTTTCCCGGCCCGAGGATCGAACCCAGGAACTGTAGCACGGGAGCACGAAACGTACTACTACACATCTTAAATTATGTTATTCCACAACGTTAAGGTAAAAGTAAACTACCTTTATATTTGCCTTTCTTTGGACCCATGTTTAAAAGTGGTCGTGAGTTCGATCCCAGCCGGCCGAAGACTCTCCGTGTAGTAAATGGTTACTGGTGCACGTTAAGTCTGTCGGGTCAAAAAATCATCCATGTTACCGTAACAAATTATATCTCTGGGGGAACTGAATTGGAGATTGATGGATGCATGTTTGAATGGGTTTACCCAATAAATGGGTTGTGATGTGTGTGCGGCTGAAGTCGTGTTCTTGGCCATTAATGATGCCCCTGAAAAACATAAAATGCACCTTCTGCTTTAAATTCACTTGGTTTCCCCAAGCAGGCTTTCTGATATTTGCAAGTGGCATTGGAAACAACAGCAACATATATGCTTTTTATAAGACACTTTCATTAGATGTTAATGCTAAATTTACATATATTTTGTGATCGTTGACTCGTTATCAATTTCGTCATCTTTCGTTAAACGTTTCCTCTGAAATAAAATGTCGTATATTAAAACTCTTTAGGTGTGAACCATAGCACGCCGAAGTTCATAATTTTGTAAGAGTTATAAGATAACTTAAGAGTGTATTTTATAAAAAAATTGACTTTATTTTAACTATAAAAAGTAAGACCATTCATGGGTTTAATGCAACCATTGTTTATCTTGTACTTACTAAACAATGATCATATTTAAAATATTTTGAGTAAAAATATCGATTTCTTATTAGTATATCACAATTCTAATACGTATCAAATAATAACTTGTTATATTATTACTGATTTTATTTTCTTAACGTAAAGTTATGTGAATATAAGGGTCATTTTGGAAAATTAGAGTAAATTAGCTTGAAGATTTAAGCATTGGTAATAAAAATCATGCTTAGTACTTATTTCTTGTCCGCCAATCGACGTAATTTACAGTTTTTAAACGCTCATTTAAACTGTTCACGTTACAGTGTTCGCCAAATTCTAGCATTTGAATTTGCTTCTAAAAGACCGATTTCCATGGTTACTCGTTAACTGCTGGGTCCCAAAGAGAAGGTTTTCCTTCTACTAAAAAAGCACTCATACTGTTGCTTAATACCTAAATTCTTTCAGAATTAATCTATGTTTAGTAAAATAAAATATTAAATAAATAATCCCAAAGCGGTAAGATATTAACTAATTAAAAACTCCATTTGCGTCAGAAATATATAAATAACAAATATCTTGTATCAAACGTTTCAAAAATCTGCTTTTCCTGAAGCTCTCAAGACATGTTTTATTCATATGAATGCTGATTTCCTTCTTAGCGACATTAGTTCCTCACCAACCCTCCATAGCGCATGGAAATACATTTTACCCTGATTCGCCCCTCTCAGTTAATGTGGTTATTCTTGTTCTGTTTTTCATTTCATTT